TTATCATACACCTTGAAGGCAAGGTTAATTAAGTTCTGCTGTGGGGTTTGAAGGCCAGAATCTAATTTTCAGAGCTTTTTCTAATGTCAGGAGTGGATTGGGTAATAAAGTGTATATTGAGAATAAGACGGCCTTCTGGTCTCTCTGGGTCTAGGGCTGGAAAGCGTCTAAGGGTTGTTGCCAAACGGGCCATGAGCTGGGCTGTTTTTATATTTAATGAAAAAGAGCCTAAATGCTAACTGATTTGGGAGAGGTCGGCTAAAGAAAAAGGAGCATTAACCCTGACTATGCCTTCAGCTCCAGCCACATCTCTAAGATGGTTAGAGAAAAAACTCTTTCCCGTTCATCTGGGGAGAGGGTAGAAGTTAGGATGACATTTAAGTCACTCCAGGTTAAATTGTAGGACAGAGTTAGATATTGGAATTCCTGTATATATTTAGTGGGGTCTGATGAGAAAGAGCCTAAGTGCTGACTGATCTGAGAGAGGTCTGATAGAGAAAAAGGCACAGGTACCCTAAATATGCCTTCAGCTCCAACCACCTTTCTGAGGAAATTGTTGGGCAGGTTCAGGAGAGCGAGCTGCAGAATGAAACTGTAAGCCAGACCAGGTGTGAGGAGGGGAGGTGATAGAAGGATTGTAGGGTGGAGGAGTGGAGGCTGAGGAAGAATTGGGACCTGGCTTGGCCTGGTGAGGAGCAGCCTGGAGAGGGGAAAGGTCAGATGGGTCCATAGAACAGGAGGATTCAAAGGACTCAGAGTTTGGAGTGGAGACTGAAGGAACAGGAGAGAAAGAAGAAAGATTTGGGATGAGTCACATTGGGAGCAGAGATTAGGAAGGGACTGATGTGTAAAAGAATGCCTGGACATCAGGCACCTCAGACCATCTGCCCATTTTACAACAAGAATTATCTAGATCTTATAGGATGGAGAAAGTAAAAGTGCCATTTTCTGGCTATTTAGAACAATTGTCGAGTTTGTATTGGGGTCAAGCGGTGTTGCAGAAGAAAGTAAGGCTTTTAGGTTCTAGGTCAGGTGTGAGTTGAAAAGGTTTTAAGTTCTTGAGAACACAGGCTAGGGGAAAGGAAGGAGGAATGGAGGGTGGAAGGTTGCCCAAACTGAAGGAGGCAAGCCCAGAAAAAAGAAAGGGTAGAGACATGGAGAGATGGGGGTGGAAGGTAGTTGCCCCCCAGGGGAGGTGTTGCTTGCCACCAAAGTGAAGGATCAAGGTAGGCTTCCCCACAGTGATCAGACACCTCTGAAACGTGGGTGAAGAATCAGGCAGGTGTCCCCTCAGTGATTAAACACCAAGGGAAGACTGTCTTCCCGTGTCCGTGACCGGCGCTGCAGTTTTGGGTTCACGGATAAAACGCATCTCCTCTGTCTCTACCAGAAAAGGAAAGGAATTGAAATTAAGGGGAGAGATTGAAGGGTGGCACAGAAATTGAAAGGAGAAAGAGGTTGAAGGATAGTGAGAGAGGTTGGAGAAGAGAGTAAAAAGAGGCCGCTTACCCAATTTAACATTGGTGAGATGTTACTTGGGCTGGTTGGTCTGAGGACCTGAGGTTGTAGGTGGATCTCCTCATGGGGTGAGGGTGAGGATAGGGAGCTGGTCTCCCAAAGGAGTCCCCCTGTCCAGGGCTTTGTCACCAAATGTCATGCACATCCATGTGAAGAGAGTCCACCAAACCGGCTTTGTGTGAGAAACAAGGCTGTTGATTTCACCTGGGTGGTGCAGGCGGGCTGAGTCCGAGAAAGGAGTCGGCAAAGGGTGATCAGGTTATCATTAGTTCTTAAAGGTTTGGGATAGGCGGTTGAGTTAGGAGCAATTTTTTGTGGGCAAGCAGTGGCTCTCACAAAGTACATTCTCAAGGGCGGGGAGAATATTACAAAGTACCCTTCTTAAGGGCGGGAGAATATCACAAAGTTCATTATCGCAAGGACAGGAAGGGTGTATTGTCATAAGGTCAATTGATCAGTCAGGGTGGGGCAGGAACAGATCATAGTGGTGGAATGTCACTTTTTGTGGTTCTTCAGTTGCTTCAGGCCATCTGGATGTATACATGCAGGTCACAGGGGATCTGACAGCTTAGCATGGGCTCAGAGGCCTGACAATGGGAGATAGAGGCAAACGGCTGAGAGGTTGAAAAGAGAGAAAGAAACTTCCCTGTTCTATACAACCCATTAAGTACATGTTTTCAACATAAACACTAATCAGTCCTCAGGGGAGAGGAACTGATAACACTCTTGGTCACACATAGTTCATCCTGGCTCTACTTGTTAACATAGTTGACCATCTGTGTCAGCTACTTAACTTCATCCAGAAGAAGGGAGAAAAACCCAAACCCATGTCTTTTTGGCAAGTGTGAGTTTTACAACATGGTGAAAGGTGACCTCTCTTGTGAGGCTCCTACAATACGACAGAAACTGATGTCAGCAGTACATAATAAAATTTAAACTACATGATTAAGTATAGATCATTTGAACACATAGTTTGAAGAGAGCCACCTCGAAACGTCAACTCCAAATGAATGGGATCAGCATTCCCAAGTAGAGACGTTAAGGTTTCACAGACATAGGGAAAGCCAGAAAAGCTTTAGCAGAATCACCACATTTTCCATTCAAGACCAGTGCATAGGGTGCAGCAACTTGATTGGTTACAGATTGATACACTTCAAGGAAGGTACTTTATCACTCCAGAAGAAGGGACAACGATCAGAGGAGGTCTTTCTCTGGGACTGCTTAGTTTTCCTAACTACCTACAGGAAAACTCTTAGAAGTTGCGCCTGCATACCACTGGACTCAGGTTGCATGACTACATTCCTCTCAAGGCTCAGAATTATTTAAAGGTCCATAGCTTTAAATTGGAAGTATTTAAGGTTTGAATTACTTAATTTCTTACTGAGATACAAATATTATCTTCCTTGTTGTTTGCCTTTCAAAGAGAGTTCCCAAGTCCTTCAGAAATACATCCCTGGGGCAGGCATGGTGGCTCATGCCTGTAACCTAACCATAGCATTTTGGGAGGCTGAGGCAGGCGGATTGCCCAAGTTCCGGAGTTCAAGACCAGTCTGGGTAACATGGTGAAACCTCGTCTCTACTAAAATATGAAAAAATTATCCGGGCATGGCAACATGCTCCTATAGTTCCAGCTACTTGAAAGGCTGAGGCAGGAGAATTGCTTGAACCCGGGAGGTGGTTTACTTAAAGTAAGAAATACTTAGGAATAAAACTAAAAAGATGAGAAGTTTCTACTTTGAAATCTACAAACATTCATCAAAATGATTAAATAGAGATACAACCCATATTGATGGACTGGAAAAAATTAATATTGTTAAATGATTATATAACCCAATGTGATTTAGATTCAACACAATACCCATGAAAATCCCTATCAGTTTTTGTTAAAGAAACAAAAAGCAAACTGGGAAAAGTGACTCACATCTGTCGGCCAGGCTGGTCTCAAACTCCTCACCTCAAGTGATTTACCCATCTTGGCCCCCCAAAGTGTTGACATTACAGGTATGAGCCACCCTGCATGGCCCAATCCTCTTAACATAAACACTTTAATGTTAGTTAATGCTTGAACTCAATGTTAAGTCAACTCAAACTCAAGTCAGTGCTGAAATGACTCTATTGCCAATTAATGGTTGATGGTTTGTTATACTCATTGCATTTGGAACAATTATCTCAAAAATGAATTTTCTGATGTTCTGCAAGGAGTAACCTCAGATCTCAGACTGAAGACCTTGCCACACTGATGACATTTGTAAGATTTCTGTCCAGTATGCATTCTCTGATGTCTAATGAGGTGTGAACGTGAAGTAAAGGCTTTGCCACAATCATCACACTTGTGACGTTTCTCTCCTGTATGAATTCTCTTATGTTTTGCATAAGATGAAGCTTGACTGAAGACCTTGCCACAATCATGACATTTGTAAGGTTTCTCTACTGTATGAGTTCGCCAGTGAACTGCAAGGTATGAATGATGTCTGAAAAATTTGCCACATTTGTTGCACTTGTAAGATCTCTCTTCATTATGGATTCTCCAATGATTTGCAATGGTTGTAGCATTACTGAAGACTTGGTGACAATCATTACATTAGTAAAGTTTCCCTATACCATGGATTGCTTGATGGTGAATAAGTGTTGACTACCCACCAAAAGCTTTGCCACACTCATTACACTTGTACGGTTTCTCTCCAGTGTGAATTCTAGTATGTAGTGTCAGGTGTAAAATACTCCCAAAAGCCTTGTCACAAACCTTACATTTGTATGGTTTCTCTCCAGTGTGAATTATCCTATGTCTTTCAAGGTGTGATTTGGGACTGAAAACTTTGTCACATTCTTCACGTCTGTAAGGTTTCCCTCCAGTATGAAGTCTATGATGACGTGCAAGGTTTGATTGTTGATTAAAAACCTTGCCACATTCATTACACTTATAAGGTTTCTCTCCAGTATGAATTGCCTTATGAATTACAAGAGCTGAATTTTGACTGAAGGTCTTGCCACACTCATTATACTTGTAAGGTTTCTCACCAGTGTGACATTTATGATGGTATGCAAGGTATCGCTTCTGATGAAAGACCTTGCCACATACATCGCATTTATATTGTTTCTCTTCTAAGGGCATTATTTGGCGTTTCCTTAAGAATGAGCTACAGCCGGGCGCGGTGGCTCACCCCTGTAATCCCAGCACTTTGGGAGGCCGAGACGGGCGGATCACGAGGTCAGGAGATCGAGACCATCCTGGCTAACACG